TTACATCGCCCTCTACTGAAGTATGAATCCAAAACGTTACGCGAAATAATCTCTCGATTAATTGGTTAGGTCTCCTGTTATTATAGTAGACAAGCGCATACAGCAGTTGCGCTACTTAACGAATTATTTGTTGGAATAAGGGTGCATTCTCTTTTGATTAGAATGCGACTACCCAGGTAGAATTTTTATATGTATTTCTTCGCAAAAATGCTAAACTACTTTAGCTGGGGCAAAAAGTGACATTCTAAGGAGCGAGGATACCTAAACAAGAAGAACAAGAAAGACCCGAAAAAAATTAGACCTTGAGCCCGACTGGACACAACTTTAATTTCTGCTCTTGTAGCGAACCGAAACGATCAACGGGCGATTTCGTACGACTATAAACCGAAAAAGAACAACGAACGCGATTACTAGATGAAAACGACCGAACCGAACCCAAAGAAAAACAAGACCGTTTAAACAAAGAATGCTATTCTTAAACTTTAGTACTAAGGAAAGGACTAATTTATTATTCCTGACCACAACAATCCGAACAATCGGGAAAGTCGTCCTTTGGCGGGGCTGATTGATTGTCCTGCCCCTGGTCCTGGCCCTGGCCCTGGCCGGAGATGACTTCTGGGAGACGTTTGGAGGCGTTTGCTGCAAGAGATGATTAAATTTCCCTAGGGCCGTCCATATATAGGAAAGCACAGCAGAATAAACACCATATTGAAGGAGTTAAGCCAATGGGAACGCTTTATCTATACAATAGCCAATAGCATAAACTCGCCGACATGAAATAGCCGATCAGTTAGCCAATAGGATTATGTCCGTTTGAAATAACCAAGTCGTGACACAGTTCGCCGCCATCTTTAATATAGAACAAAATGAACAAAAACTGAGGCCATCTTAAATGTATTTGCTACATTGCATCCTCCCCGAAAAAGGCATCGCTGTCCTCAGCGTCTACCTCATCCTCCGAATGGTTTGGACTACTTCCTACGTGTACGAAAGTATCCTCTATATCTTCGGGTGGTACCTCGTCGCGTGGGGGTTCGGGGTTACGAT